CGGACATGCAAACCCTGTCGCTGGCGGCTTCCTCACTTTCCCTCTATGAGTCCAACCCCCGCCATCGCCCTGACTGGTCCCAGAGTGCGCCCACGGAGCATTCGAAAAGCAAGAAGAAGGGTCTGGGACCATCGAAGGCATGTGCAGAGAGGAATTTTCCGCACACGAAACGTAATGCCGAGGGCACCTGGCCCCGCCAGGAAAGCAGTCGGGGGCCGCAAAATCCCCCGCGCCACCAGGTCAAGGCCTTGATTGGAACGCTACGGACTTGAGCCGAAATGGCTACGGACGTCGTCCTCCTCTCCTGTCCTATTCCTCCCTCTTCGTCTTCGTCATCGCCCTCGTCTCCTTCTCGTCTTCCTTGTCGCTCTCCGCCGCTTCCTCGCCCCCCTCCTCCTGTTCCTGGCCCGCCGTATCCATCTCCTGAAGCGCGGTCTGACCGGGATCTCAGGGCGGACCCAGCCACGGCGACAGTTGCGAGGAACGCAAAAGAGATGTGTCTTCATTCTCCTAGCATTCGTATCATTGTTATTGTTCGCCGCCGCTGAAGTCGACGACGCCGCGGCGATGGCAATCGCCGTCGAAGCACAGACAAAGTCCTTCGAGCCTCCACAACTCTCTGAGGAACCCCCGGCCCAAGAAGGACCAAAAACGTCCAAAAGCCTCGGCCCTCGATCCTCGAACCTCGAGCCTCGCCGCATTCGTCGACGCCGTCGCCGTCGCCGTCGCCGTCGCCGTCGCCGCTCGCGCTGCGATCCCGGGCCAGAACGGGGCCACACCACTGGAGTGCCAGCGGCAAAACAACGCCTGATCTCTCTGGGGGTCGGCTGCGGGTTGGCCGAACTGCGCGCGCGTATCTTCCATTGACGCCGTCTTCCATTGACGCCGTCTTGGAGTCGCACGTGAGAGAGTATGAAGATTGTGGCGGCGAAGGGACTGCGTATTTAATGACAGCGCTGGATGAATAAGAAAGCGCGGCGGCGCGGCGCAAGTTGGCCTGGAGCTGCTGTTGCACCTGGCGGGGTTGTTGCCCCCAAAGTGCACGGCGCTAGCGATCGTCTGTGCTGCTCTCTGCGCACGCACGCACGCATGCACCGCTGATTGTTCTAAACAGTACTTACAATGCGCTAACTCTACAGTGGTTTCAATCTGCGGGTCGCACCCCCATTGAATTCCCTGCTGCGCGGGCCAAGCAGACAAACAAGAGCCACGCTCTGTTGTGGCATGCTGGGGTCATGTGGCACGCTGGGGCTCTCACCAAACGGGAACTACGGAACGCGCTCGGGTTTGGTTCATAACTCCTCTGGTGTGCTTGCCCTGCGACACATGCACAAACAAGTGAAGCCGACTGCATTGATGAGGCAAGTAATCATAACCTAATCTCATCTTGCACGGCGACACAAGGAGCGGCGCTGCGCACTCAGTACCAATGCCAGCCACTCTGGCTCACCCGAAGCTTTCCCCCACGACTCCACGACGACCCCGCTTCCTTGGAACTTGGCCCTGGAAGTACGCTTCCATGTTCGAGCCCGTGCTTGCGCCGCCCACTAACGCTGCCGCTGATGTCGCCAAAGTTGCGTAACCTGCCATTGCAGCATGAAGTTTTCTCAGAACGACTGCAGCAACCGGCTTCGTATAGCCTCTGCCACCAACTCTTTGGTAGGGGCGCGTGGCCACCGTAGCCAATTTCGCTCAACCTCTTCTTCGAGTCGTGCCCCACGCACGCCAACATACCTCGCGTGCCATGTGCTTCCTTGATCAATAGCCGCAGCGCCAGCAACATTATCCACCATCACGCCCATGGACGCGAGATCCAAACCTCACTCTTCCAAGAGAAACCGGGGCTCCTCCGTCACCAGCCAGGTCATAGAGAGACTCCCCAGCTAAATCTCTGCCGTGCTGAAGCTAGACGCTGTCGACCTGCTGGATCTCCAACGGATAGCAAAACCGACCCATACCTGGACCAACCGAATCTGGGCCTTGGTACCTGGAGATCCGTGGCCGGCATCGTTCCAAGCATTCGGGTCCTGGATGTCGCGGGCCTTCGTCAAGACAAGAAGGTCGCGCTCGGCCTCGCGGATGCACCTGGGGATCTCCCGAACAGAAGTTGGGACCAGGCACTGTATTTGGATAGTGTACTTGCCAGCGGGCTCACGCACCATGCCAGATCTGGTCTCGTAAGGGTCTCTAACCAATAAAACTCCTCCGCTAGATTTTGTTACTTCGGGGGTCTGGTGCTCCCGATGGTTCCTCTATCTCTGGGCGGTAGCCCTTGCAGCAAGCAGAGAGGCCGTGAGCAGAGGATATGCCATGCTTGGCTAAAAGTTTGTATGTGATCTCTTTCTGTCCAAGCTCGATCCCGCCAGTCGTCTTCTGCGTGTGCATCCTGGGAAAATGCAGCTCTTCACCATTTTGGGTCCGGATGTAACTCGCCCCTGGGTGGGCTCCGACTCTGGCAGGGTCGTTCCGCGTCGTTTCCTCACCAGTCTCCCACGTCTGTTTAATCTGGTTCAAGAGGCCCTCTCTGGCCACCCCAGGCTCTGGCAAAATCGTGAAGTCGTCGAAATATGCGACCACCAAGCACCAAATGTGATGCTCGGCGCCTTCTTGAACTGGGCGCCATACCCACAAACCCGAACAATACTGAATCAACTTGTGAATCTGGCCGTTCGCTATCCACGAACACTTTCGCAGAGTCCGATGCCGGTGCTTTCCGCGGGCGCGAGGGCCGAACTTCAGACCGCAGGCTGCTTCATGCAACGCCCGCAGATCACCTGGACGCGCGATTCGCATCTCCACCAACCCTGGGAGAGCCGCGCCTAACGAGGGGGCCATCGGGCAAAGGGGCGCACATACAAACTCCAGTATTATCGATAATGCCGATATCCCGGTTCTTCGGCAAGGCAAGTTTCAACGCAACCATTGGCGATGATACTTTGGCCTGAGAGGTCCAAAGCCTTTTGACTGGATCTGTCATTTTGGAATTTCCGCACAGCGCCGCTCCAGCTTTGCGTTTGCCAGTGGATAGACCGTAAGCCAGCAGCGCTGGCAAAGGATGGGGAGTGCATCCTGCGCTCCTCCTCCGTGGTCGCGGTGTAGGTGATTTGCTGCTGGATGTCTTTTACCTACTTGTCCTCAGCAGCTACCCTCAATGCTTCCTCTTCCTTCCCTTTCGAAGCCCAAACTTCCTTGGCAGACACCTTCCTGGTCCCTGGAGTCCCTGGTTCGTCTTCCCACGTCTGGTCCGACTCGCGCTGGAACTCGCGCGCCGGGTCCAAAGCAATCTCCGCGCACTCCCCCGCGCTGCTCAGCAATGGCGCCATCGCCCGGTGAGCCGCCGCTTGCAGTCCTCGTCGCCGCTCTCTGGCCTCCCACGTCTGAGACCACTTCTTGCCCTTCTTCTTATCTTCTCGTTGAATACTCCCCCTGCTCTTCTCCTTGCTAATCGTCGTTGCTGTCTGAGCTCTGAGCTCTCGCCCGCGACGTCCGAAGGAGATGTCGCTCAAGAGTCCGCATGAGTATCCGTCTGCCACGCGCCTCCAGCGCCTCCCACGCCAGAAATGTCGCGCGACAAATCCAAAAGAGGCGAAGCTGCGCGAAGATTTTCAGCAACTCGCAAGCGTCTCACACAACTGCCGACACCGCGGGCCTAGCACCAGCCTCTCCAAAGACTGGCGCGTCCTCCGGGAAGCACTCCAGCCCCTCCAGCAACTCCTCCACTCGTCGGTCCACGCGCGCCGGCTTCTCCTCGGGAGTGGGCTCAGCGGCCGGCGGCGCCCAGTCCCCGTCTTCCTCTGCAGTCCTGGCAGCAGGCATCGGCGCTTTCTGTGCCTGGACGCACTCCCCCCGAATCCTGCGCTCAGTCGTCAATGGTCAATTCCGCCACTTCTGCAAGTAAGCTATGCACAAAGCTCACTCGAGCGTCGGGGCTTCAGTGCGAGGCGGCCCCGCAACCGCAGCAGCTGCACCGCGCGTCGCTGCGTCCAGAGGGGGGGGGGAGCGGGGCCGCTGGCGCCTCGTAGTCACCCATGGATGCTTGGACTCATCGGGACACCAACGGGACACCGACGGGACAGCGACGGGACAGCGACGGAACACCGACGGGACAGCGACGGGACAGCGACGGGACAGCGACGGGACAGTGACGGGACAGTGACGGGACAGCGACGGGGCAGCGACGGGACAGTGACGGGACAGCGACGGGGCAGCGACGGGACACCGACGGGACACCACGGCGAGACAACCCTGTCACCGCCCGCCCACCCGGGGAGGTTCGGACAATTGTTTTGCCCCGCCCGCCCACGCAACTTCTTCTCACCCGCACGCGCGACGCGGACCCGAAACCGAAACCGATTTCCTGGTGGAGAGCTTTCCGTTCCACGTCGATCTCGCCCCCAACCTCCGATCAGATCATCCATTGAAGCCATCTTGGGGTTGAGAGTGGAGGTAGTATGGAGATTGTAACGGTGAAGGGATGACAGCGCTGCCGGAATGAAATGCTTCGTTCACGCTCTTCGCCTTGTGGCGGAGAGCGTGCGGCTTGAGCCAAAGCGCGGCGTTACGGCCAACATGTGCCAACCTAAGAATGCACGGTGCAAGCAATCGTGTCTGTACCGCCCTCTGCGCACGCACGCACGCGTGCACCACTGGATCTCCGAAGCAGTGCTTGCAACACGCGAACTCTACGGTGTTAGTGTCGTGCCACCCGTACCCCCATAGAATTCCCTGCTGCGGGGACCAAGCAGAAACAAAAATCAATATGTTGTAGCATACTGGGGCTCTGTGGCATGCTGGGCCTCTGAACCAAGCGGGGATGACCATCGAACGCGCCCGGGCTTGGTTAAGCAATCCTCTGGTGTGTCTGCTCTGCGACACATACACAAGTAGGTGAAAGTTGCTGCACTGATGGGGCGAGATATCGTGGTACAAACCGTCGCCGTCGCCGTCGCTGGCGTCGTCGTCGTCGTCGTCGTCGTGGTCGTCGTGTTCCCTGTTGGGGCCTGCAGGCGCTCTGCCTCCAGCGCCCGCAGGCGCCCCTCCAGCAGCTCGATGACGGACCCCTGCGCCTTCAACGCTCGCAAGAGCTCCTCCGACGCGGCGGCCTCCCGGCAAGGGAGATCGAAGACCGAGAGCTGCCCCCCGCACCATGTCTGCATCCAACATAACTACTTGTTCGGCGGTCCTGCATGGGGCCCACCGGGGGCTCACCGGGGGCCCCGGAGGCCCGAAAACGGGCACAAACCTTCAGGACCCGTTTCCCTCAAGGCTCCTTTGATTCGTTTTGTGTTCCTTTCTTTTTCAGAGGAGCTCCCTGCCGCCGAGAGCCGCTACGACGAATTTCTGTTCTTTAAGGGCGACGAGGGAACGAGGGAGAGCGGGAGAAAGACGAGGCCGAGGGGGGTGCGAGGACGATTCGAATGCGCAGAAGCGAGAAAGCGGGAGGACGGGAAACAAGAGGAGAGGCGACAGAGCGAAGAGACGAGACGACACAGGGCAACACGGAAAGAAAAGACCAAGTCCGCAGCCCCACCTCAAAGCCGGAGCAAAACTGAAATGAAGAGCAACTGCTTGGGGGAGGGGGAACAACGGAGGAAACGGGGGGAGGAGGACGAGGAGTGACCGTATCCCAAGAGGAAGAGACGAGGGCAAGCGGGCAAGACGCGAGACGAGGGCAAGATGTCTGCTCGGGTCTCGCCGCAGCTCGCGCTCAGCCTACTTCCAGCGTGAGGAGCATCGGGCCATGTAAATCGCGAGGATCCTGGTGGAGAGCTGGGAAAGCAGGAATAGGAGGGAAGGGCGACAAGGACGAGCGGGGTGAGGTGAGCCGCGCGGGGGGCTCAGGGCTACATTGGCGGGTGGCCGCGGGGGCCTCATGAGCAGCGGCAGCCACACCAGGCGGCAGAAGCGCGCGTGCATCATCATGCAGAGCTGCTTCGGGTTGTGAGGGATGGGCTGCTGCAGCCGATCCGTGCCATTCCTTGCGTACGTAGTCCCAGCAGGTTCCCCATGCGTGGACGAAATCAACATCACGTGCATGTACTTCGGGGAGATCGTGGGGAACAGCAGCAGCCACTCCAGGCGGCAGGACGGCCCGTGCAACATCATGCAGAACACCATGCTGAAGCTCCGTTGCGGTGCAAACCCATTCATTCGCCAGGCTATGATGTGACCAGCTGCAGCCGCTGATCTGGATGATGTCCGAGCGTCGCAAGAACTTGGCGCCTGGGACAGCCCAGTCGGGGTGGGCAGCAGCAGCGGCTCCACGATCATGGTCAGGAAGATCTTGTACGGGAAGGTCGCCACGCAAGGCGGCTGCGAGAACATGTTGTTCGCCGCACTCGGCGGTGTCTTCGGGCACATGTTCCGGCGCACTTACCGCCCACCCTCCCGAGCAATACCATTTTGCATTCACTGCGAAGCTGCTGTTTCAAGTGTCAATGCTGCCAGAATTAACCACGGCTGCACGCCCCAGGTGCGTGCGCCCCCACTGGGGCCGACGTGGTGCACCGTGGTGCTGTAGTTAGGTTGCGGGTGGGTGGGTTATTTTCCTTCGCCCCGATCTTGAGCCAAAACGGCCACGATCGGAGCGGCAGCATCTTCCCACCCACCAGACCCAGAAGGGACGGACATGTGACAATCGAAGTTGCTGCGCCACTTCTTTTTCACACATGTTCCGGCGCACTTACCGCCCACCCTCCCGAGCAATACCATTTTGCATTCACTGCGAAGCTGCTGTTTCAAGTGTCAATGCTGCCAGAATTAACCACGGCTGCACGCCCCAGGTGCGTGCGCCCCCACTGGGGCCGACGTGGTGCCAGATGCTTTGCCGCCCTGCTGAGCGGTAAAGCGGCCCCAGCAGCGCATGCACACCAGCGACTTATCAGGACGATCCGCGACGGTCGTGAACCTCGCGAGACCAAAGGACCAGCCGCACAGTGTCCTCCACGTTGCAGGGTCCCCCGAAAGTATACCAGGAAGCTCGTGGAGATGTGCAGTGAGCCTCTGGGCACGAGATTGCCTCGTGTCCGCACTCATGATCCAAAGGTGGTTGTCTGAGCCGCCACTGCCATGAGGTCGAACAGGCGCAGGTGGAACAGGAAGCTCGTCGTTATCTTCAGGATCCCCTCCAGCATCCTGGGGTTCCTGGGCTTTCGCCCGGAGCTCCAACAGCTCCTTCCAGAGCTGGTCACCGAGTCCCTTGACCTTTGCCGTTAACGCCTTCAGCTCCTCCTCGGACTTGGACATGAAACCCCGGAGGTGCGTGTCCCCCGCGGCAGCCATGTAGTCCACGGAGAGACGCCGAAGGGGCGCCTCCGAAATGTACCGCCGGACGGTCTCCGACCCCCAGCGCGCCAGCAACTGGATCGACACCAGGGGCAGCCCAAGAGCCGCCAGCCAGCGCGCACCGGTAACTCGGAGCGTGTGCCCTCCGAGCCGGGGCCTGTTGAGCTCGTCGTGCAGCGGGAGGCCGAGGCACGAAGCGACCTCCTCGATCGACTTGACCATGGCAACTTTCGCGACCACGTCACCTGACGGCGTGGGAAACACAGGAAGACCCGGAAGCAGCCGTCCAAAATGCTCCCGTAGATGTTCAAGGTGCGGGAGTACTAAATGGTACGGACACGGATGCGGACCCCCGTCGGCATTGCACAAGCACTCCCAAGTCCTTAGCCTGCCCTGAGCTGTCGGGTCGTTTTTCGATGCAGGCAAATCCCACGACACCGACTTGGCCGCGTGGTCGAACGAAATGTGGCAGATCTTCGCCAAGGCGAGCTCCACCTCCCGCATGCAGAACATGATGCCGACGAGGAGCGCTGTCCGAAGGCCCAGGGGCCCATTGCGTACGTTGGGTAGCCAGGGCAACGACCCCGATAAGCTCACCAGGCCAGGGACGTTAAGCTCAGCAGCCTGCTTCGCGGGCCCCATGCCCCGCGTGATGGAGCGGACTGCCCGGCGTACAGCCCGATCCAAAAACTCATCCCAAGGATGCCCATGCGCAAGGTGCTCGCCCTTGGCCTTCGAATAATAATTCGCTGGCGACCTGTAGCCGCCAGCCTTAAGCAGGACGCCCACCGCCTCGAGCGACGCGACAGTGAGCGGGAAGACAGCGAGCTGCCCTCTGAACCAATGGTTGTGGAAGACTACCCACGTGTTGAGCAAGGAGTCTCCAGTGTAAGAGGCACTATGGACGTCCCGCTGGAACACGTCAACGGCAGCCTCGCGGGCCTCCGCGGTGTCCAAGGCCGCCAGCGCAGCAGCTCGAGAGCCCCGACGGCGATTGTACACAGGGGGGGCGTCACGCCGCGACGGGGCAGCGGCAGACCAGGAGTCAGCCGCAGCTCCATCCACGCCGCCGCGATCCCGGCGGCCCCAGGAGAACAGCGGCGCAGCCGGCACGTCAGCTGCATCCGATCGGGTCGCCTGCGACGCCGCCGATGGCGCCGGCGGAGCGCCGCTCCAAGGAAACAAACCCTCCGGAGCTTGCCGCTTCCCTGGCGGCGCGCCCTCCCGCCCCGGGTGCGGGGAACTCGACCATTGAAATATGCGTTTCATCTGAGCCGCAACTGCTGCTGCTGCCGCGGCGGTGTAACCATCCCGATCGAAGCCTAATCAGATGCCAATGGATCCACTGGGCCACCGCCCAATAGCCCACACCTGCGGGCGGCAGGCCAGGCAACCATTGCATCTGACACCGAAAGCAATCAAGAGCCTGGAGCCGGATCGCAAATCGGTCGAAAGAAACAACAGCCGCCCGAATCGTTCGAGAATCGACCGCGGGCAACACCGCCCTCCCTGATGAGAAACGCACGCGTGGCAGCCCCCTGCGCGGGGCCCCCATGACGGCCGCGGGTCCCAGGTACCCGCACTGGCCGCGCACGGCGCAAGGCACCCACCTGACCAGAGACTCCCGCCAATGCCGCCCCAACGACCAGCCAGGCAGACGCCCGCCTCCAGCCGGGAAGACGCGCCCCCCTCCGGCCGGGTTAACGTCACCCTCCAGCCGGGCACCTACGGGGGGGAACAAAGTAGGGGCGGAAATTGGGGCGGTTATTCCATCCGGATATTCCTGCCGACGCCCACGCCCCCGCCGACCAGCCAGGCAGACGTCCGCCTCCAGCCGGGTGGACACGCCGCCCTCCGGCCGGGTAAACGTCACCCTCCAGCCGGGTAGCTACGAAGGCATAGACATACCTCCGCGCCCCAACATCCAGCCCGGTAGACGCCACCTGCCGGCAGAGCTCCGGCCAGGTCGACGTCGCCGCATCCAGCTGGGTACACAACCCGACCCCAACACGCTCTCATGATGTCAAGGGTACGTCATGCCGCAAACGTGCATCAGCATCGACCGACATATGCGCGTGGCGCGATGAGTAGGTTAGCTCCCGCACACAGACATGCAGTCAGCACGGAGAAAATACATCGCACCCACGCGCGGCAACACATCGTGCCCCCCACCTACAGAATCGATGCTGCTGATGCGAACGCGGCACTGCGACAACGCTGACTTTTCAATTTCGCAGGGAATGGATAGAGCTCGCGTGGCTTATAGCCCTGCTGCGCACAACTGCGGGCCCCATGTGCCCGCCCTACTTGTGCGCCGCCGCCGCGCGAGGCGGACGGGCCCTCGGCCCGCCCGCGCCGGCCCCCTAGGAAGTCCCAGTTGCTGGCGAAGCCAGCGGGCCATCAACTGTACGGAAAAAGGTGGCATCGAGGGGCGGGGGGCGGGCCTCAGGGACGTGTCGAAGATGCACTGGGAGCTCGAAGGGCGCCCCCGGCATGAACTTCCTCGAGAGCGCATCCACGATGGTGGCACTGACGCCGGGGGAGTGGGAGAACACATCCGGCTCGTACTCCCCAGAGGCGATGTCCAGGGCCACCTCCTGGGCAATGAGGCTCGTGCCTCTGCCCTTGGACTGCATCTTCGCCAGCATGGTGAGGGCGCCAACGTTGTCCCCCTTGACCTCGAGGGTCGGTCTCTTCCCCTGCCAGTGCTTACGCCACAGGCGCAGCGCGAGGAGGATAGCGAACGCCTCCAAGGTCTGCTGGCCGGTGCAAGAGCCGATCTCGACCCCCAAGACCTCCGCAAGGTCTTGCCGCAGCTCCACTGCGAACCAGGAGACAAAGACGCCCTCGATGACGATGAAGCCTCCAAGCCCCCAGGGGCTTGCATCCGTAACGATACGGATCTTCGGGCCAGTCCCCAGGTAGGCGTCCAGGTGGAACACCCGGACGAGGTCGCCGATCTCCATGTCGAAGAAGGCGCGCAACCACAACAGCGGCCGCTTGAACTGCGCCGTCCAGATGCACCCAGACGGCGCGCCAGGTGCGCTTCCGGCGAGCGCGCCCCACATCTCGTTCAAGAAGGGCCGCAGGATGAACACTAGGGACGCGACGTGCGTAAGCGAGCCCAGCGCACTCCGAAGACGCTTGGCTGAAACGACGTTGGTGCGCAGGCACTCGAGGACGAACGCCCTGCAGTCGTCGATCTTGGCCTTGGCCATCTCCACCCGCACCAGGCTGTTCGCGGAGCCCACAGTGACTACGCACCCGATCCAGGGTACCAAGACGCCCCGGTGCGCCTTGTGGAAGGCCATTGGAAAGCCAAAGGCACGCCACGCGAGCACAATCATCGACATCCTGCGGGCACGGTCCTCCGCGGAGCCTCTCACGCTGATCGCGGGGTCGTCGACGAAGGTCTGGATCCGCACGTGCTCGAGGCCCCTGCCGACCACGCCAGGCGCTGGCGCGAAGAGCGACTGGGCGCAGCGAATGGCCAGCGACGCAACCGCAGCCCACGATAGAGGGCCGTTGCGCGAGCCCTGCGCCGCCCGGAGGAAGACGAGATACTTTCCTTTTACACGACCCACAAAATGCCGTCGCTCGTCGAACCTCAGCGGCACGTTCCAGAAGGCGTCAACGAAGTCCAAAATCAAGAGCTCAATGTCGTCGCCCACGTCCCGAGACGACAACAGCTCCAGTAAATCCGAGACCAGGTCTGTCACCCTCGGCAGGACGACCCGGTGAGTCCGCCGAGTTGCGAACGTCACCTTCGACGCTCGGAGGTCCAGAATGACCCGACTCTTGACCCTACCATCCTTGACCTTCCGTATGACCCCGAACCGGGACAGGATGGGCTCAGCCTGGAGGTACTCCCGAACGGCCTCGATGGTGTCGAATGCCTTCAGGTAGGGCGGCTCGCGGCTGGCGAACGCGAGCACCTGCTCTACTGCCTCCCGGTCGTCCTCGAACCCTGGGTAATTTACGAAATCCTCGGCGGGCTCAACGAGGTCGTCCGGGGTCAGCACCTCGTCTGCGTCGCCGGCGGCGGCTGGGAACAATTCGTCCAAGACGGGGTCAGCTGCGATCCCGGCTGGCGCACCATCCCAACACCAGTGCGCGACGTGCGAGCCTGGGTCTCGCGCGCGGAGGCCCCATTGGAGCAGGAGGCCCCCACGGAGCTCGGTGGAACAGGTATCCGAGCGAGCTGGTCCGATGTCGTTCGTACCCAGCGCCTTCCCGAGAATCCTGCGGAAGATGTCCAACTCCTCCTCTGTCGGCCCAAGCGCGAGCGGGTCGACCCCCGCCGGATGGCCGCCTCCAATGGCCCGGAGAATTCGCTGCTGGATCTCTGGGAACTTGTCCAAGAAACGGGACATGAGGTGAGCCAGGGCCGGGCCAATGACGCGGTGGCCTGGCATGCGCCTGACTGCGCCAGCAGCGTCCCTGAGCCCCCCGAGGGAACCGGCGTCCTCCTTGCGCTTCTGCTCCCTCGGGTTCTCCGCAGAGCGACGCAGGGGGTTCGTGAAGCGGACCTCGCGCTGCAGGCGCGCTGGGCCGGCGCGCTCGTCCGGCAGCGAGCCCGCCTGAGCTGGTCGCGGAATCGAGTCCAGGCGGCCCAGCTCGATAAGGAACGCGCTCCGGAGGTAGCGCAGGAGGTCGTCGGAGTCGTCGCGCTCGAAGCTCAGGACGAGGTTCCCCCTGAAGATCGCGGGCGCGCCGTCGAACAGTCCAGAGTCCAGGGCACCGCGGCGCGGCGCGGGAGTCGCAGACGCCGGCCAACGCCTCCAGCGACCTGAAGGCTGGGAGGAGAAACATCGACACTCCGTGGCGGGGCTCCGGTGCGCCCACGAGCCACGGGCGCCCGCGCTGGTTGAACCTGCGCGCTGCCTCAGCTGTTCGATTCGCCAGGAGCGTCTCTTCCCGAACCGACTTGGACTCGTTCGGCCTGGGACCTTTCACGCCGAAGATGTCCGTGTCACCTGGGCCTCTGAGGTGAGCGCAACGATGGAAGGTCAGCGCCGGCGGGGTCGCCAGCAGCGCGTCCCAGAAGCCCTCGTCGATCTTGATAGCGAGGTCTGCCCACACCTCGTCCTCTGCAAGGTCGTAGTTGTCGCCGTTCGCCTTGTCGTACACGGTGGTGTCCCAGTGGTCGTCGATGGCCCGCGTCGACACCGGCCCCCCGAAGAGGTGCAGCAAGCGACGCTTCGGCTCCGCATGCCGGTCACATTGGGTGATCTCGGCGGGGACGCCGGAATCCTCCACGGCTCGATCCACCGAGCTCCAGCCCACGCCGCTCGCCGAGGGACTGGCGCAGCGCGCGGGGGCAAGCGAGAGTTCGGCAACCGCTGGCGGCTGCGCCGTGGGGCGCGCCAGGGCTTTGGATGACAAATCCGACGGTGCCAACGTCATCACAACGTCATCCGGCTGGCACGCTGCCTCCCGAAGAGGGTCGCGAGCTCACCATTTGCCACTCTTGCCCTTCCCCTTCCCGCCCTTTCCGGACGAACGCTTGACCGCCGAGGACTCCTTGGGAGTTCCTGTGCACGGCTTGGGATGGGACGAGCCGTGGTCCAGGGCGAGGCATTTTGAACATTGGTGTGCAAGCCAGCGGTTCTTCGGGCAGTAGCCGTTCCCTCCGTTCTGACAGCGCCCCGACTGGAAGTCCGAGCATAAGCCCCAGCCCGCGCGGTTCGTGCGGTACTCGCCGTCCACGACGTTGTGCTGCTTCGGGCCCTTGGACGTCTTGGCTGGCCTCTGGTCGCCGCCGCCGCCGCCACCCCAGGAGCCCCAGGAGCGCTTCGAAGGCGGCCTGGCCCAAGGGCTCGACGGCGCCGCCTCGCCCGAGGGAGCAGCCACTGGAGCATCACCATCGACCATATCTGACAGCTTGCCCGCCTTCGCGAGGATGCGGAGGCACTTGTCCTCGACCTCGCGCTTCCAGAACTTGGAATCGTTCACGGCCTGTTGCCAGACATGCGTCCATGGCATATCTTGGCTCTCTTGGTCCGAGAGATCCCGCTTCAAGCGCTCCATGTGCTCGAGTCGGCACCGCACGTCCCCTTGGTATATGATCCACCAGCATATATCACCGTTCTGCTCGTGGAAGCTCTTGATGAGGCCGTGGTACTCGGTGAGGTCGCCCAACGATACTGACTGGAAGCCGACGTGGGCGGTGAGGAGAACGTCGAAGGACTGTGACCACGTATGGAAATCGGGAGGGCCAAAGAACTCCACCGTCTGGATCGAGCCGTCCTCCTTGAGCTGGAGGCCCTTGCTCTTCATCTTGCGCCGGACGCGGTTGCCGAAGGGCCTCCAAACCGAGAGGTCGCAGTACGGGTTGATGTCCTTCTCGAGCCGGTAGTAGAAGGCGGAGATCTGCTCCTTGGTGAGGTCCTTGTGCTCCGGCGGCGCCCTGTGCACCCCGAAGACCTGGCGATACGCCGCATAGAACTTGTCGATGATCACCTTGCCCACCATGGGGACGACGGTCTCCGATGCCTGGTCCATGACCAGCGTGATCTTGAAGGTCTCGTCCTGACCATCCACGGCCCCCACGGGAGCAAGTGCCGTAGCCTTGGCCCGGGCCTGGTCCACGAGCAGGTGGTCAATGCGCGACTGCTCGAAGCTCTTCTCCACGCCCGCGGCGACGCGACAGGCCCGAATGAAGAGCTTGACCGCAGCCTTCTCCAAGCGCGTGAGAGGCCGCGCAGGCTGCTCCTCAGCACCTGCGATCTCGAGGCGCTGGGGCATGTCGTCGACCTCCTGCTCGGCGAACATCGCGATGAGCCGGAAGTGCTCCGCCCCGGCGGCACCCAACTCCTTGTAGATCGCCGCCCGAACTGCATGAGACAGATCGGCCCATGTAGCGATGCTATCCAGCGAAGTGAAGTCAGCAATCTCTTCCTTCGTCGGGTCGACGGCCATCCCTGCGGCGTCAGCCCCACTGGAGCCAGAGAGCAAAGCAGGCAGACCCGCAGGGGGTCTTATTTTCCTTCGCCCCGATCTTGAGCCAAAACGGCCACGATCGGAGCGGCAGCATCTTCCCACCCACCAGACCCAGAAGGGACGGACATGTGACAATCGAAGTTGCTGCGCCACTTCTTTTTCAGACTGGGTCGCCACCCGCGGCGGCATCATCACGGGCAGCAGTGTCCTCTACTGCCAGGTCGCACTCCACAAGGTCGAGCCACGCGTCGAAGCAGCGTATGAGCGGCCTATTCTGGAGTAGCGTCTTGCGCCGTGCAGCTCGATGCCATTCGCGGACAAGCGGACGGAGAGCAGCGCGGACATCGCCAGCAGCACGAGGTCGGGCACCACCAGCAGCGGCGGCTCGCGAAACAGGAACATCACGAGGTTAAGCGCTACCAGCGGCAGCGGCATGCACGACGGGCCGACGAGCATCGGGAGCATCACCAGCGTCACGAGGATGAGCACCACCGGCGGCAGTGGGATGCAGAGCAGGTTCAGGAGCGCCAGCGCGACACCGAGGAAGAGGCCCAGCTCCATGAAGAGGAACGTGTTGGGGAACCGGTCCAGCACCGTTGCAAAGAGCTTCAGGCGCGGCAACGCCACGGGGAACACGGCCAAGGGCGGTTCCAGGAACGTGGCGAGAGTCATGCAGTAGAGCGTCAGCGACACCATCGGCGTCGGGGTCAGCAGCGCGGTGTTCTTGACGTGCGGGTGGTGGCAGAGGGCCAGCTCCGCGACGTAGGTCAGCTCGGACGGGCAGCGCAGCGCGCAGAGGTCCAGCACCATCATGGGGCCCATCTTGCACACGACGCCGCTGGATGAAGTCTGCAACCTCTTGGAGCTCATGGCTGCCGCAGACGCCCAGCGGGTAGAGCGGGATGAGCTTGGTCGGCAAGTGACGTGCACAAGCAGGTGGAAGAAGATCGTGAAGCCGAAGAGGTACACGGAGGGGGCGACGACTGAATCCCAGCTGCATCGCACGGCATTGGCGAGCATGAGCCGCGGCCTGCGATCGGCAGTGGGGCATCACCGCTAGGCCACTGTGCAGCGAGAACAGCGCGAGCAGCTGCAGCATCGCCAGGCCGATCGGGATCACCCGAGCGTGCGCGAGCATGGACATATGGAGACGCGGCCGACGGCGGCGGGCGGCGCTGCGCTTGGCCAGGAGGCCTTGGGCGAGACAGCAACCCATTTCGGCCCAAGTCCGAGATCCCACGGAGGGGACGGACTTGAGCCAAAATGGCTACGGAGGAGGAGGAGGAGGAGGAGGAGGAGGAGGAGGAAGAGGAGGAGGAGGAGGAGGATGTGATGCGACGCGATGCGATCCCGCGCTCCACCAAGAAGGGCGGAGAGCAAGTGGGCGTTGAGTGGCACGCCAGAAGTGGTGGAGCTGGCTCTCCTGGGGCTCTCATGGCTGCGCGGACACGGGTGCGGCACGCGGGCGGCGGGGCCAGGTTCGCCGTATAGGTACGAGGGCCTGGGTCTCTGGGGAGGGCGACCGGTCCGCGCCCCTGACGCGCTGGCCCGGAGGCACACGGGCGGAATGCGCACGTGACGACAAACGTTTTCGCGGCCCGAGGGCCAACCCTGCTATCGCAGCCTAACGGAATCGCAGCCCTCCAACCGCCCCCCGCCTCATCTCTCCCCCTTCCCCACCCTCCCATCCCCCCGCCACCTCAGGACAGGCAAAGACAGGCCATGCCTGAATGCGCACGAGCACTGCTCGAAAGCCAGAAACCTCACGAGAGAAAGTTCATAGCTGCCGTTACCGCTCGGAGAAGTGCAAATTGGCAAATTGAGACACTGGCGGTTACCCCGTCCGACCCAAACCCGCTCAAAAGCGGTCACCACACCCTTTCTGGGGTCCATCTCGATTCGCTTGGCCCTCCTCCGAGGCTGGGCCCAACCACCCGCTCAGAGAGAGCCCCCCCCCGCCCCAGAGGCAAGGGCCTCGATGAGCTGCGCCGGCGGGCTCATGGCGGCCAAAGGCGGCCCGGCGCGCCTGCGAGCGCGGCTCCGGGCGCCTGTGAGTCGGCGAGCTGGCGACGGACGGCGGCGGCGTCAGCTACATCGACGACGACGGCGGCGGCGTCCGATGCAGTGACGACGGCCGACGGACGTACGGCGGCGGCGGCGGCGGTGGTGGCGGCGACGGTGACGACGGACGGCGGCAGCGGCGTCGGCGGAGGCGGCGGCCGCGTCCTGAGCGCCCGCGAACACGGCGTCGGGCGCCAAGCGAGCGGGCCGAGCTCCTGTCTGGCCGCGGCTGGTTCTGGGCCGTGGCTGGTCGGGGGCGGGGCGGTCGCGCGCGGCCCTCGAGCCGACTGGCGTCGGAGGGAGGGACGGGGAAAAAAGCGACGAGGCGGGAGAGGGGGGTGGACGGGAGGGAAGGGGAGGAGAGGAAAGAAACAAGGGAAGGAGATGCGGGATGGATGAGGAACAGGAGGACGGCAGAACGGGAGCGGAGAGCGGGAGAAGCAACTGGAGGAGGAGGAGGAGGAGGAGGAGGAGGAAGTACAGCAGGCGGCCGCCGCTCCGCCTCCTGGTCGGGCCGCTCACCGCCGGCCCACGCGGCGGGAGGCAGGGAGCCACCGCGAACGCACGTCGGCCCCGCACCGGAAGTTGGAACCGGCTGGCCAGGCGGCGGGCTGCCCGAAGGAGCAGTAGTCGAGCCGCACGCCCTTCTGCGTGACCAGGCGGACGCGCCCCCCGTGCAGCAGGCCGACGTACACCACGCCGAGGTCGGCGCCGGCGCCAGCCCGTGCCACCAGCAGCAACGGCCCCGGGGCCCAGCCCTCCAGGCTCTGCTGCCCCAGCACGGACGCGTCCCCAGGGATGGCGCCGTCGTGCAGCAGCGCGCGCACCGCCGCCTCGGGCGCCCCCCGGACCGTGCGGCGCGAGCAGAACTGGGCCAGGGCCGGCGCGGCCTCCAGCGTGGGCCTCCAGGGGAAGGCGCCTTCGGGCCACGGCTCCTCCGACTCCGCGATGGACCCGCCCTCGGAGGCCGTCATGTCCACCAGCGCCAGGCGCCCGGCGGCCCGCGCGCACGGCAGCGCCCCCAGAGCGCACACCGCGGGGCTGGCCAGGCTGAGCGCGGCGGCGAGCGGGGCGCCCGAGCCGCCGCGCCCGTCCGGCGGGCAGACCAAGGCGCTGCGCGGGAAGGCGCGCACCCCCGCGGCCGCGGCCTGCCGGTCGTCCAGGAGCAGGCCGTAGAAGGAGGCGATGGCCTCCCACGCCGCGCCGCCCACGGGAGCGACCACCGCCGGGAGCGGCCCTGGCGGCGCGGGCGGCGACCGCAGCGGCTGCCCGCGGCCGCCGGCGCCTGGCCCGCCGGAGGCCGCCGGCCCGATCCGCTCGAGCTCCGACGGGGCGACGTGGTAGTGCGTGCCGTCCCCGAACGCGACCCGCACGAGGCCGGCGAAGCGCCCGCGCGCATTCGTCTCCCGGACCACCGCCTCGCGGGCAGCCGCTGGCACGAGGACCCTGTCGCCTCGGCGCAGCGGCTCCGCGGCGGTGTCCCCGCGTCGCAGGAGCGCGAGGAAGAAGCAGCCGCCGTCGTCGTGGCAGGGCAGCAGCCGCGCGCAGCGGCGCAGCTGGCCCTCGATGCGGGCCGCGTCCTCGGGCGTCCTGGCGTGCGCGGCCGGCGGGAACATCGACTTCCTCAGCCGGGAGCCCGACCGCTCGGAGGCCGGGACGTCCTCCCACGAGGCCAGCTGGGCCGCGGCCGGCCCCCCCGCGGCGGGCACCGTCCAGGCAGTGAGCCCTGGCTCGAGCCGCAGCCCCGGAACATCCACTGGGGCTGTCGCGTACAGGGGCCCGACCTCGGTCAAGGCCGCGGCCACCACGGCCTCGCACTCCACTGGATTGATGGCGCAGGTGGAGTAGGCAAGCAGGCCGCCAGGCGCCAGCAGCTCCAGGCCCCTCCTCAAGATCTCGAGCTGCGTCCCGTGGTGGGCCACGCCTGTCCACGGGTCCCACGTGGCCAGCTGCGTCGGGGCCTTCCGGACCGTGCCGTCGCCGCTGCAGGGCACGTCGCAGAGCACGCGGTCGAAGAGCGCCACGGACCCCTCGCGGGGCCCAGCGGCGAAGGTGGGCTCGGGAAAGCTCTTGGCGTCCGCGCAGGTTGCCACCAGCGGCTCCGCCGGCACGCGCCTGGCGCGGTCGACCAGCAGCTGCAGCCGCGAGGCCTTCAGGTCGTTCGCTACCAGCAGCCCGCTTGGCAGCTCCCCGCCCTCGGCCACGCCCGCGCCCGCCAGCGCGTCCAGCAGCTGCATTGTCTTCGACCCCGGGGCGGCGCACAGCTCCAGTACCCGGTGCGCCGGCTCGACGCCCAGCGCGCGGACGGGCAGCATCGACGCCGTCTCCTGGCGGCTCACCTTGCCGGCGCGCTGCAGCGCCAGCAGCGCGGTGTTCAACGCCGGGCTGCACTGGCCGCCCTCGCCCAGGGCGCCGGGGCCGCCAAGGCGAAACGCGCCCGAGCACCAAGGCACGGACTCTGGCCGCCATGGCGCCAGCGCAGCCAACACCGCCTCCGCCGAAGCCCCGCCGCCGGCTCCCGCACCCAGCATGCGGAACGCCGGCGGCGGGGGCGTCCTGAGCATCTCCACGCTGATCCTCCAGTCCTCCTCATTGGCGGTGAGGCGCTGGGCGGTGTAGAAGGCCTCGAACGCCTCGCGGCCCCTCTCCAGCGCCTCCGAGCTCTGCACCTCCGCCAGGCCTCCGCTGGACGCCTGGTCCGCGCCCGACCCATCGCCGAGGTCGTCGGCCTCGCCGTCGCCGCCGGCATCGCGGTCCCACGCCTCGTGCCCGGACGCCTCGCTTCCCGCGCCGTCGCCCATTGCGGGGCGGCCTGCTGGGCCTGCCCGAAGGGCGCCCGGGCAGCCTGGGTCAAAACTGCTTCACCCAAAATGGTCACGGAGGGACGGGGGGAGGGGGATGACAGCATACCTCATCGGATCAGTGCCACCAGAAGGACCAGAAGCGTTCAGCGTCCAAGAGGAGTGGAAGACTGAGAGGCGAGAAGGCAGAGGAGGAGCAGCGACCACTGCACGCACTGGACCGCTCAGCTCAAGATTTGGACAGGGCTGGCCTCCTGACAGTCCTCTGGCTGGCCCGTCCCCGTCCCTTCCCCCCCTCCCCCTCTGCCACCCTCTCTGATTCCTCCTCCCCCTCCCCCTCCCCTCCCCCTGCCCCTCCCCCCCCCTGCCCCTCCCCCCCCTGCCCCTCCCCCTCTCCCCCTCCTCCTCCTCATCCTCCTCCTCCCCTCCTCCTCCTCCTCTTCCTCCTCCTCCTCCTCCTCCTCCTCCTCCTCCTCCTCCTCCACCTCCTTCCTCCTCCTCCTCCTCCTCCTCCTCCTCCTCCTCTCCTCCCTCCTCCTCCTCCCTCCTCCTCCTCCTCCTCCTCCTCCTCCTCCTCCTCCTCCTCCTCCTCCTCCTCCTCCTCCTCCTCCTCCTCCTCCTCCTCCTCCTCCTCCTCTCTGTCTCCTCCCCCTCTGTCTCCTTTTGTCGGTCCTGCTCCGAGTGGTGGGGAGAAGCCGTCGCGTGGGCCTCGCTCGACGCCGCCCCGTCGTTCCCCGCCCCCCCCCGTGTGGTGCACCAGCACACAGTAAGGGCGGCATCGGGGGCCCTGCACAAGCAATGCCTCCAAAGGTCCGGGGCACCTTCCATTACCGTCAGTGAGTAGGAGAGGGGGGGGGGGGGGGCTGGATGCGCGCGCCTCCCGCCGGTCTCTGCCGCCGCAGTCGCAGCCGAAGAACCTCGAGGAGAGCTGGCCCATCATGCCGAGGGCGGTCCAGCGCGACAGCTCCAGGGCCTCCAGGAAGAGAGGTCGTCGTGGTCTCCGTCGTCGTGATGGTCGTGGTCGCGAAGGCCGTCGTCGTTGTCCTCGTCGTCACCGGCGGGAGAAGGGAGGGAGGATGAGGGGGAAAGGGATAAGCATGGCAATGATCAGCACAGAGGAAGACGAACGATGATGCTACTACTGCTGCTTCTGCTGCTGTTGCTGCTGTTGCTGCTGATGGTGCTGATGATGACGTTGGTGATGATGAGGACGACGATGGCGATACGGATTCGCTGAATATGATGATGGTGGTATTGATGGTTAGGACGGTGATGTTGATGATGGCGGCGCTGGCAAGTATGATGATTGTGATGGGCAGGATGCTAAGGTTGATGATGATGATGGTGTTTTGATGGTGATGGGAATTGTCATGGTGATGATGGTGTTCACGGTGATGATGGTGCTAGTGACGATGTTGTTGTTGCGGATGGTGCTGATGATGATGACGATGCGAGTGTTGCTGGCGATGACGATGATGGTGATGAAGATGGTGTTGATGCTGCTGAGGATGATGATGACGATGACGATGATGATGATGATGACGATGGCGATAATGATGACGATGGCGATGATGTTGATGCTGCTGATGACGATGGTGATGATGGCGATGATGATGATGATGACGATGGCGATGATGATGATGATGGTGGTGATGGTGATGATGATCCCCACGGCTAAAGGGGTCAGGAACTCTTAGCTCGTACTGCCCCTCGGACCGGGGCGTTTCCCTTTGGCCTGGCGGAGGCAACGCCCAGTCTCGCGCGCCTCGGCCCACACACGAAGATTCGCCTAAGAGCCGAGAGCAATCATCCGCCTCAGCCGAGGCAACCGGTCGAGCGGCCCCAGCAGCCAAAGCGACTCAGCACGCTCGGCAGCTAGCACAGAGCCACAGCTGCCGATCCAGCGGGCTGGCACGCAGCTTTGCTGCACGCCGCGCCTGAGAAGCAGCTGGGCCCCTGGCCCCAGGCCACCCCGACGCGGTTGGTCCTCGGGCCTGCGCAGATCGAACCAGAGCGTGGGCGGGCCTACGCTCTCGGGTCGCCCTCCACGCCAGAGCGACGGGCAGGGCATGCTGTCGCGAGAGCGCGCCAGCAACTGGATTGAGCGGAAGCGTGCAAGCGCGCCGGAAGTGGCGCGCGCTCGACTATGGAGGGCGCTTCGCGCCGAACAGATGGCAAGCCGGGCATGCAAGACGCGCGTCGGACACGACGCGCCGTGGACAGAACTTCGCCACCAGCCTCACCACACTTCCCCTTAGTCCGAGCCTGAACCGGGCGTTGCAGTGCCATTAGCAACGGAGCCCGCCCCCGCGCGTCAGCAAGCCTGCGCACCTGGTTCAGCTGCCGCTCAGCAGCTGAGCCGTCGCAAGCCGAAAAGGCCGCGGCTATGCACGCGCGCGCGCCGTGCAGTGCAGCGCAGCGAAGGCCCACCCACAGCATCGCAACAGGTCCCTTGGCACCAGGCCACAACTTGACCTCGTTGCATTGC